TATTTCTCCCTCCGTTCTGGCCTGTTTCGAATTCAAGGCTTGCGATCGAAATTCTGCTTCCGGTATAAACAAAACGTCATCACGAACAAAAATTGAATAAGGGCATGACAAGATTTTACGAAAGGGAGAGAAAGAAAGGAGAAAATGTAATTAATGCCACTCCCAAGAGATTTCAAATTGAGAAACAAAAGCGAATGGATCAGTGGGAAACTACGAACGCGCCCATTTTATAGCGCCGATTCGGAAAAGTGCATTGTTCCAGAGAAAAACTGTTGCCGTCAACGTTTGCTAATAATTAAAGTAGGAAAGAATAGCACAGCCGGGTATAACAGGACCCGTGCTTTGTTACGCTTAGCTTTGCTAGTGCAGAATAGAATCAATTTATTGAACCAATTGTGCTACAGCTTGACGAGCCCTTTTGAGGATTTCGTTCTCTTTTATGCAGTACATTCAGCGTATGTGGATACGGTTCAAACAATCTCCAGTTGTCTTTTCGAAAATGGTTGTATCTCACAGACCCAATCAGTAAAGGAGCTGTTTTTACTATTCAGAGCTTAGTTAAAATAGCGAGTATTTTTTTTCATGGAAACTACACATAATTGATACAGAAACAATAAAATTAATTGTCTTATAGACGGTACAATAATAAATATAATAACTAACACTTTTTTCTACAGCACAATGGCAAACATACGATTAAAAAATTCTCCATCTGGCTTCTTAAGATCAGTGAAATTTCTCCCAGATGCAATCAGCAGAAAAGAACTGTTTTAACTATTGAGAAGTTAGTTTGAAAATTAAGTAGATGTTTTACCATGGAAGCTGCAAATCATGTATGACACCGTAATCAGTAAATAACACAGTATAATGGAAATTGATAGGTACTAAAAATTGATTGTCTTGTAGATGTTATAATGATAAATACAATAACAAATATGTTGTTCTGCAGAACAGAATCAACTACCGTTGAGTTACTCAAACTCAGTAGGGGGATATTCAGGTTCTACTACCAACTGAAGGGGTGTGATGCCAAGTTCACGTCCATGACCGTAAAGCGAATGGCGCACAGTAGCGCCCCGGCTAGCTACTAAACGAGCTGGTATGACGAAAACCGTCTAGTAATCTCCGGTAGCGAGAACCAACCCTATGGTACTTCGGACAGTGTCGGACAGTGATCGGATCGTTTAAGCACGGTCACCCACTGGAGGTAGGCGATATTGAAGCGGGGACCGGCCACATCGGGTTCCGATCGGGTAGTGTGCTATGGGTGCAAGTCGCGGAAACTTGCACAGCTTCGGGCGGGTGCCGATCCATCCGCTTAACCCTTTGTGTCCGGAATTAAATAATTTTAGGATTTTCACTTCATAAACCTAGTTCCGAACCTAAAGGATGTAAAAAACGTCCATCATTTTGTGAAAAAATGTATTACACATATTTTTTGGAAAAGTTACCAAAGAAAAAAAGCATTATCTTTCCACAACATGAGGCTAATCGACATGATGATATGCAAGAAAACAACTTCTCTTGTCATTCAGGCATAAACCTACATCGCAAATCGTGCAACTCCACATATTCCTATGAGCTTCCTTTTTTGTGCTGCAGATGGCGCATCGTCTGGAAGTACCATATATAGGCATGTGAGCAGATTTTTCTGTCCTTTTTCAATGGGAAAGTATTTTTTATAATGATTTGTGGGTTCCATTGATTTTCGACCTTTTTTCTTGGTAAGGCATCCCGACGCAAGTCCTGAAGAAACATTTATCCTGAACTGTTTCAAATCGAGAGTCGAACCGCAGCAGTGTTTTTGAAACAAAATGTACGCGTTGACTACCGTCGACTACAAAGTGACAAACTATCCTATCGTACCACTTTTTGCTTTTTCGATCTATCGCGTAGCATTCTTTTAGCATGTCCGCCTTATCGACGGCACCCATATGTTTATTGTAATCCACAACCAAAGACGGACAAGTTACTTCTGACACAGTTCCATCTTTATTCTTTCTATTGATTGTTATGGTAATTTGACAAGAAATAAACAGGTTTTTTGTCTTTCCATTTTAGACATACCAACATATATCATTTGTCATTCTCCAGTCATATTGGCCTCGCGCTATTTTTTTATCATCGATAAAGTCATTTGGCAAATATTTTTTCCCTTTTCTCAAAGTGCCACAACCACATAATTCCATTTTGTTTCAAGTAGCTGAGCAGTGGAACACTTGAAAGATAGTTGTCAAAAAAATTCTATAATTTTGTTGTTGCAAATCTCTTGTCAAGTCTTTGACTACTCTTCCTCCTAAATCTTTTTGTGGCAAGTCACCAATCTTACCAGAATATATTTGAAATTCGCAAATATACCCTGAATCATCAGCCCGCACCCAAACTTTGTATCCACTCCATTTATTTTTTTCTGTAAAAAAAAAATAAATGACCGTTTACAGTCCTAGTGGTTACCTCAAGAAACCACTACATATTACATGGAACAAAACCCAGTCAGATGGTAAATTGATCAATTGAGTCGGAAGGTATGAAATATTACAGTTATAAAACTAAATACTGACATGTCATTCCAATTTTCACTCAGTGTGTTCACGTTTACAAACAGCCGAAAAAAGACCCACGCGGAACCTTCGCAATGGATAAAGAAACTTCACTGAATACACACTTCCTCGCACGGGGCAGAGCCGTCAATTTTTTTCCCGATAGATGTCACTAACGGTAATACTTTTAAACCGCGGTAAGGCTACCCGACCAGTAGGACTGAAATTACGTGTTTTAATATAGGTGGTTACATGGAGCGACCAGTAGAACGGAAAGGGTTTCAGGGACCGGCTAAGCGAGGCGTAGGCCTCACGGAACTCAGGTAGGATTATTGAATACATCTAAGAGTGTACCCATTTCTGGCTATATCGGCCCGCCCCTTGGCACACGAAGCGCTGGCGACAAATTAGATGGACACGGACAAATCAACGGAAGAGATGATAGGTGCGGAAACATAAAAGCTGCTAGAAGAGGAAGACTTAAAATGTAAGAGGCATTCCAATATAGGTCTGGAAAACATTCGTTATGATTCCGATAAATCACTTGGGGAACTAAGAAAAAGCCTGCTATCCACCTGGGCTAGTACAGTGGACAAATTCAATTAGTGAAGGGATGAAATATGAATTGAAACGTTCAGAAATTGATTTCAGTGAGTTCTTAAAAAAGAGAAAACTTGCAGTGAACAAAACCAACGAAGTCACTTGGAAAAAAGAAAATCCTATTATAATTGATTTCCAGAACATGGTAATAATGCAGAAATGTGCAGAAAAATTGAATGAAAGCAGTCTGATCTGCCAAAATACCAACGATTGGATAGATGCGGTTAATATCGAGTTAAAAATATGCAGTATGTTTTCAGAGACGACATCGATGAAGGACTGACCAGCAAATCAGGAATAGGAGACCGCAGAACCCCACATTTGAAAGCTTACCCAGTAATAAAATCAGTGACAATTCAGGTGGAATGGAAGAAAGCCAAGATCTGCACACAAAAGAAGATGAGGACAGAAGCATATATAAACACTTTAAATGCTGAGAGTTCAGATAAATATGGATTGGCCAGTAGACATTCACGAGAAGATTTCCGTCCCAAGGAAATGGATGTATGGGGACTTGGGAGTACTGATGGACCCGATGCAATCTGCAAATGAACAAAACAAAGTCCTTGCAGCAGAACTCTTGTTAGGTGAAGGTTTGACTGGGGGACATATTGATTTCATTAGGAGCCATACAAAAATAAACCAATAATGGACGACAGTAGTATCACCGATACGGAAATAATGTACAAAAACCGCGAGGAGCTGAAAAACCAAGCAGTATAGCAAGACTCAAAGGATGTCAAAGTGGTGAATATAAGTATTACCTGAGAACATGTTTAGAGTATATTTTAAAAATACTAACTAACAATGAAAGCGCAAGGATCGTCAGCATAACTATAAAAACATTTAAGGAGCAAAGTTGATACGTGGGTTGTCTCAAAAAATAATTTTTTTAGACAAGAAATCTCCTTTTGCAGTCCCCCCTCAAGAAAGTCTGCCGCCAGCCCGTTTTAACGCTGGTTACTGCACCTTGCAACTCCTCCGTCTCAAACCGTTGACCGTCTAGGTGCTCCGTTAATTTCGGAAACGATATTCCAGGGCTGTAAGGGAGATGGGCAATGATTGCTCCCGCCAAATCGACCAATTAGGTCCTTCGTTGCGAGACATAAGGATGCGCATTGTTCTGGTGCAGTATTACGCTCGACGATTTTGGATTGCCCGTCTCACCTTTTTCAGAAGCATCAGGAACTTCTACTGCCTGTTCCCATCGTGACTAGCCGATCGTCGAGCAAGATTTGCTTAATCTTCGCCACAACTTCTTCGGAGATCGACAGCCTCCTGCTTCGTTGTTCATCATGGATGTCTGTGCGGCCGTTAACAATTTGAGGATATGTTGAATGCCTACACACGTTTCTCCATAAACTTCACTCAAGTGCCGATGAACTTATATGGGTGGTAATGTTTTTGCGTGCAAAAATCGGATGACCGCACGAATTTCGCACTACGCGATGACGGCGATAAAGGGCTCCTTCCGCATGGATGTCGGGCTGATATTGAGCATGGCCAATAGGTTGGAATCGGTGATGAGGGAGCCCACAAACACGACGGTGTTCGCCTAGCATCACACGCTGCAGAGATACAGCGTTGGGAACTTATTATTTCTGAGACAACTCGTATATCTACAGGAGGTCGAGAAACATAGGAATGTAGGCCAATATTAACGAAGCTGAACTGATAAATACAATTGAGAGTTATTGCAGTTCTGCAAAGCATGATATAAAGGCTCTGTCTATAAATCCTGAAATCCTCCAGATGATATTTATAATAATTTGAAGTAAATGCTTTTACTTTTTGAGTATAAGCATATTCTTCAAAGTAGTGTCATAGGTAAAAGGAAATTCATAATCTTCACCTTATACTTGGCATAGGAAGCATATCCTTCAAAAAATCTGAACGTGGTCAGTAGCAGCCTCAACTTCGTAACGAAAGGTGGTCAAACGATGATGGCGTGGATGTTAGGGATGTTAAAACGTATAAACGTCGTTTACCTTCACTTGGTCGTGACTTCAAAAAATTATATCGGTTTGACGAAGCAAATGTACAATGGCTTGCGGACAGATTTTTAGTTGAGAATGAGGAAACTCAGGCAGGAGCACTTTCATGTATTCATAAAATGAAGATATGTCATGCGCTATCTCGGTGACCCTGGATATTAACAAGGTATTGGACAGGAGCTTGGTGTTAGTCAAGCAACGGTATCTCGGACTGTGAATAGAGTTGTGCACAGTAGAACGAATGGATCAAGTTTCCTGCTACCAACCATGAACTGATGGAGGCCAAGCGGATATGGCAAAGCATGTATAAATTTCCGACAGCAATTGGTGTAATTGATTGTACACATATAGGAATCATGAAACCAAATCGCTATGGAGATGGGTATATCAACCGAAAAGGGAAACCTACTTTAACTGTGCAAGCCACTTGTGATGCCAGAGAGATGTTCACAAGTGTTGATGTCAGTTGGCCTGGATCAGAGCATGATTCCAGAATATGGAGAAATTCACAGACTAGATCACAACCAATAAATAAAGCAAATGTTGTACTACTTGACGATGACGGTTAAGGTATTGAGCCATGCCTTACGACTCCCTTCAGAAATCCTACTCCAGGTACAGAAATAAATTATAGTAAGCTTTTAAAACAAGAAAGAGTTATAATTGAACGCTGTTTCGATCAACTGAAATGCCGGTTTCCTATCCTACAGTATGTTTGCCGCGTAAAGTTGGAAAATGTGCCGAAAATAATTATTGCTTGTATTGAACTCCATAATGTTGCGAAGAGCTTGGACGATCCTGACTTTGAGTTAGTTGAACAAGACCCAGATGAAGATGAAGCAAAATCATGAGAATGACGAACTTCTTCTCCGCCAACTAGGTCAACAAATAAGAAGAAACTTGAGTATTATAATAAATAGCTTTAGTGATTAAAGTGTATTTATAAGTTATAATAAGTTTTATTTTCATGAATATCATAAGTTACAGGTGGCTTCTGACGCTGCATCATTTCTAATTTCGTTTTATAATACTTTTGTTGTAAAATACTTGTTTGGTACTGCTGTAATAGCACTAGACGTTGCAGTTATTTTGTAGTTAACCTTTTGGTTTCCTCAGTTTCTTATTTCTATGTTGCTAATTTTATTTTTGGTGGCAATGTCTTCTGAATTGCAGGCGCTATAATACTAACTGTTTGCTCACTGCGCTCGGTATATAGTTCACTTCCTTCTTGAACACTACCAACCTGAATGGCACCTCTAATTTTCTCAAATGTAGGATTACAGTCACCTTCCATAGCGTTCAGCACTTTCTGTCCCAGTCTAACAATTTAACTGCTTTATTACCAGTTCTTTTTAGATCTGTTTTTTCTTCAATCTTGATTTCATGTTGTTGATTTTTTTTTAATAAGCCTTTAGTATTTAATGGTTTACCGAATGTTGATTCGTATTTTTTCAACATCCTCTTCAAGGCATCATCCTTTATAATTTTTTTTTTATTTTTGGAACTTGTACCAGTCAACCTTTCACTTCTTCTTAGAGGATATCCTCGCGAGTATAAGGTAATCATTATGAATATGAAAACAAGGATATGCTTATATTTCTACCTTTTTCTCCGAAGCAAAACCTTATACTTTTACCTTATGCTTCCGAGGATATGGTTCTCTTTTATGAATACGACACAATAATTAAATATCTAGATGAATGGATGACAGGATTATATCTCATAACCGACACAACGTTTCAGAGAGGAGAGAGTTAATCATTCATTGACGCCACAGGTGCCATACCTAGAATGTCCATCAGAATATCTAATCGGGGAGTATTAACAGGAGAAACTCTGAGTTATCATAACCATAATTTCTTTGAGCTGGAGATGCATGAGGCAATGAGAAATGAGAAATTAGACAGTATAAGATTTGCCAAGGCTTCCGAGGAAATCTCGACACCATGCAGAATCCGCGATTTCCGAGGACTTGAGGATTTGCGAGAGATAATTTAATGAAGTCGGCAGCAGAAATTAAGGTAGGAGCTTCCCCGAAAAGTTTTTTGAATGACTGGTTAAAGCAAGGATTGAAGTAGAGTTGAAGAACAAAATTGGTTTGTCTAGCGAATACTGGCGAGGGGAATCCGCCATAGAAGCAGTAACTGCGGTAAACTGTAAAGTCAAGCAGCAAACAGTAGTGTGCGCTAGTAGCAGCAGATGTAGAGAATGCATTTAACTCTGTGACATGAAACCTGGTAATCAGAAAACGGTATGCAAAAAATATCTCTGCATACCTGATAAATAATGCAGATGACTACTTTACAGACGGGAAGATGACCACCACACGGCACATAATAAAAGATATATGTGCGAGAGTCCTACATGGATCCGTATTGAACCTACTCCTATGGAATATTCTGAATAATGGAGTATTAAGTATACCATTACAAGGCATATAAAGTGTTCTGCGTGGCAATAGTTGACGAGGCAAGTCAATCAATCATCTCTGGCGAGAGTAAATGATGGCAATTGAGCTGACACTGCTCACCCATAAGACGAGGTAGTAAATCTTAAAGGTATGCAAAGGAAATTCTGGTGAAATTTCAAATGCTTGGTGCAACAAAACAACACAAAAAATGCTCAAATATCTAGGAGGTACTGGATGACAGAAGGACTTTCGGAGAACACGTAAGGGCACTCGTAAAAGAAGCGGGCAATACCCACAAGAATATTGCCCTAGTAGGCATGGGAGAGTAGTTCCCTGTGACTTTATGAACTCGATTATCCTTTATGCGGCACCTGTCTGACATGAAGCACTGGGTATCAATAAATATGCTAAAATGCTATTAGGAATTCAAAAGAAGGCCTTTCTCCGGATATCAAATGGGTATCGTAGAGTATTAACTATGGCAGCACAAGTAGAGGCAGGAATACCTCATATGACCTTGCTAGAAGAAGAAAGAGTTTGCCTTCCTAGCGAAAAAAATGTGGATTCAAGTATCAGGATAAGGGAACAGTAGAAGACTCTACATAATCAGCAGTGCATCTGCAGGTTTATAAATGCGGCTATTGTGGAGGTGTGGATACTCCCGAATATCCAGTTCTAGAATATCAGAGATGGCATACTTGGCGAAGTATCTGAGTAAAAAAAGACCGGACTACAACTTGGCATACGGAAAGGAGGGAAAGGGATATTATCTGTTTGATAAATGTTACGATCCACTTGAAGATATGCCTCAATAGAAAGAGCTATCGAGGGATCTTGAGCCACACAGGAGGCAGTGGTAAGCCCTCCCGTCTGTCCCATGCAACGTTACTCTCACAGCACTGCATTGGAAAAAAATGGACCGTCATATTTTTCATTACCAATCGAAAAAAACTCTCCTGAAGGTCAACCCCATGTCGACTATATTCGCATGTGGTTGACATTCAAGGAGCATAATAATTAGCATGTACTGGTTGTGGTGTTACTAGTATCTCCCAATGTTTATATAAATGATAAATGCTGCTGTAACCAAACTCGTCTCAAAATTACTAAATGAAACAATTAGTAAAGTAAGTTAGTAACCAAATAGAGAAACACAAAAACCACGTAATTTTACCAGTTACCAAACCAATAGACGAGTGTACACATGAGTAAACCAATTAAGGGACTGAATTAATAGATTCGTATATGCACAAGGGTGTCATTTCAAAGTTTAATTCTGAAGTTAATTTCGTGGGAAGCAAACCTTATATAGAATTATTTCCGCATCAGTTTTTTCCTTTTTTTGCTGTAGGGTATTGAATGTTTGATTCTATTTTTTAAAAAAACAGAAGAGAGAAGGTATCTGCGTAAGTTTGCATTTTTTTTATTCTGATAGCCCAGAAGTGCTAATCTGGTTTCTTTTTTAAACCGCTGTGCGGTTTTCAGTAACACAAATTACTCTCGCCACAGTTAAAAGGTACCGTCTGGTGGTAGTTAAGTTTGAATCACCCTGTTGAACTATGCAATACTCCAAGCACATTTCAGTGAGCATCTTCAAGCTTTATCCATATTCGGACATACCTATACGCCGAACTTTTACTCAAAACAAAATAAAATTGAGAAAGAGCCACCAGATGTTATTCTACAACCCAAAAGCAAGCAACCACCACCAACCTGCTCAAGCAATCTAAGTTTTCTCCTGTGAGTGTGCTCTTCCAGCCGATCGACGTACTCCCTTAGTTCTTCGATCTCTTCCTTCACCTGCTGCACGGTGTCCAGCTCATGTTTGATGGCGACCATATCCCGCTTAACCTCCGACACCTCCGACTGACAGGACTCCACCGATCTGGTTAACTCCTGCAGCTGTGTGCGAATCTCGCACAACGCCACTGTGGTCTCCAGGTGGCGGTCTCCGCGCTGCTGAAGCTCGTCCAGCTTCGCGGACAGGTTGGTGCTCATCACGCTCACCTGTTTCTGGAGACTGGGAAAAAAGTACGACCGCGGCGCGGTCATACGTGGTTAGTATGAGAGCAAGGAGGACTGGAACTTGATGGATTTCGGCCGTAGGATGAGTTGTTTAGGGCTTGTGCATTTCGACGGTCTTCCGGCAGCGCTGACAGCAACATCAGGATCATCCAATTAACCAAGAGATGCCGCAGCATGTCAAGGGATACCACTGCCAGAGTCTCAGTTACAACAATGCTTTCGGAGCACGCGATGAGATGCTGCAGTGGGAGGTGTAGACATGCTGCCGCATACCTTGGCATGGTGAGGTGTGAAACTGATTAGCCGCTGGGATCTACATAGGTACTGTCATTGCCGCTGGTGTCAGCCTGGAGGGCCTCCTTTGCCGTGCCCATGCATGCGTAAGCCTTTAACGACAATTTAGTTTGATGAATAAATAAGAATGAGTTTTAAGGCGTTTACTATCTACAAGCTAGCAGTACTACGAATTTATAAAAGTGTTCTGAAATATTAGCATTTCAATGTCCCGCTGCTATGTCGTTGGCATCCCAGATCAATTTCGGCAACCAGTACCAAAGTTACCAGTAGCGGAGTACACACTTTTACTATGAGTGATAAAACGCAATATGAGTAATGCATCACTCCTCAAATACAGGTCAAGCCTGATTCTGGAAGATTATTTTAACAAATAACAAGCGATATCACGTTGAGACAAAAAACAAAAATTCAAGCTACAATATAAACTGTCTGTGATGACAAAAAATGCAATGAAACCCAAAACATCGAATAAATCCCAAGGGATCAATAAGTTTTAGCCTTTCCGGCATCGGCCGTGAAGGATCTTTGATGACTGGGGGGTATATAAAAATGTAGCTTGCGTCGTAGGCATGATCGAAATCCAAAAAGTTCTAGTCAATATGCACTATGATCAAATCAAAAAATAGAGGGACGATAGTTTATAGGTAAAATACAGTACATCGACATTACAATACTCCATTTTGTGAATGAATATTGACACTGCAAACCAATAGATCCTTCAAAAATCATATTTGTTTATAATGATATGCAGGGTAGTGCGTTTTGGAATATCTGTAATTATTATGATTTCTTCTAAAGACGTGACGTTTGAAGAACACTCGTGAAATAAACGAAAGATGTACATACATCACATTGGGAATAATCAACAATAAATGGCCATTAATTGTAGACGATCAGATATTTTTGAAAAGGATCAATATTTGTGCTATTGAAAAGCAAGTTTCATATCTTGTAGACTGTAGGTGCTGTAGGTGCTCCTACTTGGTGAAACGGTTCCATCATGCGATAGAATGGTACAATTTGTTGTAAAACTTATGCAACATTTTGTACAATTCAGTCGCAGCCTGCATATCTTTATTAATATGTCTCACGAGTCATGCAAAATAACTAGTACTAAGATCCCGTAGTAAGTTCCTAAATTTGTCTTCATCCAAATTCTGAGAAACCTCATCTCGTATTACCGCTGCATACTCGACATAGTGTCGCACAATGTGGTATAGCCTTCAGAGAATGCTTAATTGCCAATTTAGTTGGTCGTATTCTGACACGCAGATTATACAGGGTGGCCCATCCATGTGTGCTCGGAATATTACTCATAAGCAAATACATTTTGGGAAAATCTATTTATGGGATGTAATACATGACATTTTAGGGCACATTTATAGAATATTGGCCATTATACAGGGTGTCCCAATTTCGACCTACATATATAAGTTGTGACTTTTTAATTGGAATGTCTCAAATTTGATTACATATTTGGATAAACCAATTCAAAAGAAGAAAATTGATATAAAATACCATGGGATTTTGGTAATTAGCTACTGAGATATAAGCTGTTTTGTCTAGAAAAAAACCGCCTCTTCGGCGACCCCTCAGTCTGCCATTTTGAAGTTTGGAGTGCTGAATTTTGTTTAAAAAAAAATTACAAACGTCAGCTTTTATCTTATTTGTCACTTTTTCGAATTTCAATTTTTGCTCATGCAGCGTGGTCAAAATTGCAAATTGTACTTTTTCTCAAACATTTCAAATGCCTCATCCTGTATATTTGTGCAAGTTTGGATTCAATTTTTTCTAAGTTTTTTTTATACTAGACACATAAGAGTTTTTACGACTATTTTTTCGGTTATAGCACGTCTTTTATGGAACGGCTTAATTCCCTAAAATGTCGCATCATCCTTGGAAACAAATCAATTGTTGATTAGTTACAAACTGTCAAAATTAGCTTTTTTAGCATTATAATAAAAAGGTGTTTGAAAATGAATTTTTCTAATGAAGAAATGGTGAATATGGTGCTCGTTTTGGGCGAAGCCCAAGAAATTGTTTCCTAGCATGTCGCATTTATAAGCAACGGTACCCCAATATGCGACATCCAAGGCCGGACACATTTTTCACACTACGAGAACGGCTTGAATCAAGAGGATTAGTGGAATATAGTAAAAAATGTATAATTAATCCAAGTGTCACCAATGAGGCGAATCAGTTCTATTAAAGTTGCAGGAAAATCCCCAAAGTGATATATATGAAGAACTTCTGTACAAAGGATTATTCACAAGCATAGGTACCAGCATCCATATCACCTATGCTTGCATCAAGGCCTTCGTCCTCAGGATTTCGCAGCTCGAATGGAGTTTAGTAGAATAATGCTAAATAAAGTGACTGAAGACACTACTTTCCTGGATAAGGTTCTTTTTAGAGATGGGGCAACTTTCAACAGCATATATGTTGTTAACATTCATAACATGCACTATTATGCGGCGGAAAACCCTTACTGGGTCAGGAAAATAGATTTACAAAATAAATGGAGCTTGATGTTTGGGGAGGAGTTATTGGCAGACAAGTTATCGGGCCTTTCTCTTTCGACAACAAATTAACAGGTACAGAATACTTGAATTTTTTGATAGAGCATTTGCCTTTGCTTCTCAAGGATGTCAACTGCAAACTCGGATACATATGTACTTCCAACATGATGGCGCACCTGTGCATTATCATAATCGTGTGTGTAACTATTTGGACACCTGGAGTAACAATCGTTGGATCGGTCGTGATGGGCCTACATCTTGGCCTCCTAGATCACCAGATATGACACCGATGTACTTCTTTCTATGGGGCTACGTTAAGCAATAGGTTCATAGATATCCATCATCTACCCCGGAAAATATGAAGGAAAGGATTAAGGATATGCTTTTCTGAACATAAGGGAACACATGCTGAGGGATGTGCAACGATCATTTATCCAAAGACTACGGCTGTGTATTCAACATAGTGGAGATATTTTCGAGCAGTTTTTGTAGATTAGGTCTTGAGTAGTGATAGTTGTTGGTTTATGTTGTTGTTATGGTTGTTTCTCTCTATTACGCGTGAAGTTGATTTATACTGTTCTGATTGTTATTAGTTTTCACGTCAAATCTGTACTATTAGTATCAATATGGAGCTAACCCGCTGTTTTTCTTTTGTTTCCATGGATGATGTGAGATTTTGTTCCTTAATTTTGTTGTGTCGTTCTATTAAAAACTCAATAACTCAAAATCTAGTGATTCTATCTGAATCAAACCTCATAGCAAAATAGATTATAAAAAATTGAATCCAAACTTGCACAAATATACAGGATGATACATTTGAAATTCTCGCCCAAGTGGACGGTTTTTCTGGACAAAACACCTTACATCTCAGTAGCTAATTACCAAATGTCATATGAATCTTCTTCTTTTAATTGGTTTATCCAAATATGTATGTCAAAATTGTGACATCCTGTATAATTGGCAATATTTTAGAAATGTGTCCTCAAGTGTCATGTATAACATGCCATGAATTGATTTTCCCAAAATGTATTTGTTTATGAGTAGTATTCCGTCCACACATGGACGGGCCATCTTGTATAGTTTGGTCATAGATGCGATGCTTAACCTGTCCCCAACGAGGTGCATGTTAAAGACCAAATTCTCTTAAACGGAAACGAGCAAACCATCTTTCGTGTACTCATGTGTCTAACTTAAGGTCTGGATACCACGTACGGAGCATATCGTCGGTCTCCGCACGTACCGGCGTAACTAACATTTTACAAATTTTACAGGGGAGCTAGAAAACGAAAATCAGCAATAAATGAGATTGAAAATGACATTTCAGTCTGCATGTTGCTGTTTTTTTTTTGTTAGACTAAAATGAACCAATTTTAACGCAGAGGCGTAAATCTATTTAAGCCGGTCCGTGAAAATTGTTTTCGGAATTTTATAACTTACGCAATTTTCTAAAAAATTTATTCCTTAGCAGCGAACTGATATACAGCTACGTCATTTCGTGAAGTGAGAGACTACAAAAAAATATGTGAAATTACGGCGTAACTCGATTTTAGATTATTTATCATTTACGCCTGTACGTGCGGAGACAGACGATATGTAGCTTGAGCCCCTAAGCAGCTTTTGCGAAAGGCAATCGATAAGAGGTAGCGGAAGCATAATTTTTGTTTATCTATCTTGATTAGATTTTGTGTATAAGAAAAAAGTAGCACAATATAGGCTATTAGACTTCTGCAATTAACTGCCAATTGCACGGATTGTAGCTGTATATTTTCAAAGTACTGTGCCCCCTATCAACATCCGCAGAACTTGTCCTACAACGCAATAGTCTGCGAAAATTAGATTTGCCGAAGTGTCTCCAAGCAAGTTGATCAGAATAACTACCTAGTGCTAGATGTAACAAAAAGTACATCATCGCGAGCATCCCCAGTTACAATAAAATCGATGAAATCCGGGATTGTTTACTTGTGGCTGTAGAAACATTTCAAACTTCACGGAACATGCATTGTCCGCTTCAATCAAACGCCGTTTCCAGCTTATTCGGTATGTTGATGTTGCTGGAGGCATTTTGGTAAAATAGATGTTATATAGATGAGGCGAAAAATCGACAATAATCATGCAGTTTATGTAATGTGAAGCTGTCAAGTATAATCAGACACATCATAAAGCTTGTCTCATGAAGCACGAGCTACGAATTCAAATAAAATTTGAATTGGACTCATCAGACTTCATTTCTTTACTAAGTCTAAGCCGGTTGATACACTGCTGCCCCCTCTTATTCATGACAAAAGTTTCATGGCTTGGAAATAGAAACTGTTCAGAATCATTTTACCTTTGCAATCGGAGATTCTTTTGAGGGGGTGGTTGACTGAGCGCTAAAAAATATATCAAGTCTATGGCAGTAGTACCTGAAAATATTCGCCATATACAAGTGAACCCGAGGATCCTGTTGGGGATACTATATGACCTACAAAAAAAACTTCAATACCTTATTCTCCAAGGCTCTTTTTATGCAGCGCACAGAGCTTGAGGTTTCTGAGATATGGATGCTGACGTTCAGAATTGACTCTGACGCTTTCTAATCATAACACTTAAACAGAATCATGCAGGATGATAATGAGTACATCCGTGAATGGATAAACTAAAAATATTAGGCTAGCACAGCAAGTCATGCAAAGCAAAACGTGTGGAGGATGATGTCAGAATTATGTCAGATAAAATGGGAATAGTAGAATTTGAAGCAGCTGCCTGCATTACTCCGTAAAATAGAGTTATAAAACCAGAATCTGTAATTTAGTCTTGTGCTAAAAGACATAGACTTAACACCTGAAAATAATATAAAATTAAGTCGAATTATGTGATGTTTTGATAGTGAGTGATGAGCTTACATGACTTAACCCAGACTACTAATAATAGATCGTTGTAAGTTAAAAGATCTCTTATCTGGATCACGTGTCTGATAGTAACAAACTGGACTAATCATAGCATAACTAATTCACCTTGCCGCAAAGTCATTTCCATCTATTATCACACTATAAGATATTGACTTCTGTATTATTATAACATCATCCCCTGTTCCTATATCAATTTAAATATTTGTTACATTTGTAAGTTTTAAGATAGTCAGACATTAATACCTCGTATTGTTGACTGACTTCTCAGACTCTTAAAGACTCTACTTTTAGGAAGTTAAATTGCACTGTAGTTTCAAGATTTTGCTAACATTCAATGCTGGAATACTAAAATGTAACTATACAAATGTAACACAGCAGGTCTAACGTTCAATCGCATTTCACTAAACAACTCAGAATTAATCGAGGTAACTTGAATGAACGTGGAGCGCAATAATAAACATCCCTAGAGCCTAATAATTTGATGTGCAGGGTGCGTTTGATAAGTAATGAGACTGGCCGCCTTGTAGTGGCCCAGTCTATTACATTGTGGTCTGAGGCAGTTAGAATTGTGTTAAATCAAAGGTAACAACTGCATAAAGGTTGTTTACGAAATCGTGGCACGTGAAAATGGCAAAGCCGCGACACCTCATCAAATTTTGCTTTCGCCTGGACAAAACTGCTGAGGAAATATTTGCCTGGCTACCAACGCCCAAATAAAAAAGTTTGGTCACCCGTAAAGTTGTATATTGGGAGTTAATAATTGATTATTTGTAGACTTATACGACGGTCCAACGTCAGGGCATGTGCTGTTTTGTCCCCCGTTTCTTGCACACGACTCGTCGAAGGGCGTCCAAACCACAAAGTGATTTCACCGGCGTCACACCCACTTTTGAATCCATTGGACACCATGAACATCTGGAGTCCTGATCAGGTGTCTTCTTTGGAACCATTCCATCTTGGACGCTTTCAGAACAGTTACGTAATGGCAAAAACTCTTATACCAAACTGGGCCTATGTCACAGTTAGCTTACATTTTCCAGTACTATTCTAATAACCGGAAACTGCTTCAACAGCGATTGTGGTGACACACGTTGGCCAGTCTCATTATTTCTGAAACGCACCCAGTACTGTTATTTGTACCAAATATGTGAACAATGAGTCTTTTAGTATCGCTGAAGGGAATAGGGGAATGAATAACACTGTAGTGTATAGATTAGATATACGACATAGTAATTTATACGTCACAGCTTTGGGAAAAACAGAGACGCAAATAATGATGCATTAGGCTGTACGAAAATCTAGCAATGACAACATATAATAACTGATGTTTTCAAACATACTTGAGGCATAGGCACCGGATCGCGATCGGAGAATGTTCGGGGCTGTAATAAAACAAAATATATGAGAATTTGGAATCATGGGAATAAGGAAATTCAAGATAATGTTCAAAAATGGCACCACAGAAATGTTGTATTGAGAAAACCATAAGCTGTTACCATATGGATGGTGAAATCAATTTTAATGTATAGAGAAATGGCCAGCTAATCACCAAGTGCCTGGTAAATAACATAGTAAAATAAGAGGCTTCTTATAGGTATAAAGCAAAAGTATTGGGATAGATTATTTGCTCCCCACATCTCCGTTTTGGCGGAACCTATTTTACATTCCGAAATCCTACTATTTTATGAAGCCTCATTGAGTGAAATAAAATATATTTTTGGTGACAATTTTCTCATGATTTAGCTTAGTGAAATGCGATTATGTTTTAAATGAACGAATTTGGGTAAGGGTAGGATGGACGGATTGATTTCATGAAACTATTATTCGCAATGCTCAGACGTTATAGTTCAGAGCACCTGTATGCCACTAAAAATGTAATTGCAGCATATACATTAGATTGCTGAGAATATAATTTAAATAATATTAACAAAAATGGCCCTATCATACTTAATCCAAATTGCAGAACATCCAAGTTGTTGATTGGCCGAACTTATAACGTCTAAGCAGACAGAATTCAATATAGAGAAACTTCTTTGCCATGTTGCTAGTCCTCATGCTGAGTTAGCGTTTAATTATTGTACAATAAACTGACTGATGTTTATTCAGAGCGCCATCCTGAAGAAAGATTAAATTTTGTAGCTGGCATTACTGATAGTGTTAATTATACTACTCAGAACACCCTAGCGATCAAGAGAATGCGCTCTAAACAGACACCTTCATAACAAATACTCTGCATAAGGGCCAAAAATCTAGCAGAGCTGTTCTTCCAGATTAAGCTCTGCATGGTCTAAGGCTACAGAGACACACAAAAACACACGACCAAACGGGGGGTAGACTACTAGTACCTGGGAGGCAAGGATACCATGGCTGTGTGTTCCAAACTACAGTGGACACTCCAGGTATCCTCTGACCCTCCAAAAAGAACGTCCGCCAGTTAGCCGGACTAATAATGACCCTGCATCTCGGTCATCAACATCGGTGCTTCTACTCGGCCTTGACACGACACTACCAACCTTCTTCCACCTATAGTTTGGAAACACAGCCCATCATCGCATATTCAACAAACTTGAGGGAATAGGTAACTCCAGTTAATTGTTTTCTTCACTTTCTCATTGCAGTGGTCACTAAAGACACGAGCTTAAATACAGACAACATCAAGAACGAAGCGCATAGTGGCTACCTTCACAGCCTGAATGTTACAGTGATTGTTGTAGATGCAGTGTATCTCTTAGTGATTATGTGCACTGTGTGCAGAACATATTTTTGATGTAGACGTACATACTCAAAGTAATTAACATCTTATCTCCTGTTCAACTCAAAAATATTTAGATCACCATTTGGCTATGAGAAGGCTTAAAGAAAGTGGAACTACATATTCCTCAGTTTGTAGAGTATTTTAAACGTGCCGATTCGAGTACAGGCATACAATAATGGACGTATAGCCTTGTCTAAAGTCGTTTACTATCTCAGTTATTTTGGATACTGAAATCTCGTGATGGATAAAGTGGTGGATCTGAATGGATACTGTAGTAAAAGCAAACAGTTGTTAAAAGATATCAGCTGGGAACCAAGATTCCAAAGAAAATGTTTAAGAAGCATTAGAAAAATCAAGCTTAGCTGTTCTGCCAGCGAAAATTCTGCGCTGAGTTGAGCTCTACTGATTCGATTATTTTTAGCATGTCTTTAATGGAATGGCCAGTAGATTATTGCGAAACATCTTGCTTATTCAAGTCTAGAATGATTAAAGTGAGCCTTTAGAGAAATCGATATGTTCTAACCTGATTTTATAGCGTAAGATAAACATGTTGTCATAACTTTATAAGGCAGAATGCAAATTAATGTTACTGTTCATTGAAAAATATAAGCAGACAAGCTTTCAAGATACTTTCAAAGGCACATTTGACTGTACTAGGACCGCTGAACATCATTGCATGTGTACAGATGAATATAAAGAGTGATTTGAAGTGCGCGCATAGCTCAAGTCACCGATCACAAAGGAGAAGGGTGTGTGCTGTTTCACAACGAGACACTAGATCACAGGGATAACCGTTTGGTCAGTGATACGCCAAAAAGGCTTGTGTTATATATTTAAACGTATAACGTCAACACAAGCTGACAAGAACGCATTGGCAGACCAAAACATTTTTTTATTAAAAATAAATAGATCTTTGCAGATTTACTGCTATTCAACCAATGTTCATACACCAAAGCAACTGCAAGACAAGAACAATATTAATCATACCAGTTTCGTCCGTGCAAATATCTGATGGCCAAGCGTGTGTCATGGTTATTGACAAACATGGGCACGGTCTAGGTCTCTAGATAGAACAACAAACGAAAGCAGAGCACAAGTTTCCTCTATAAGACGCCTATCAGAATACGATAATACAGGTGCCAGCTATCAGCAGAATCATCCACTGTGAGAGTGAACAGCAGCCGTCTATCAGAACTGTAAAGGTATCTCATTTCACGTTGACAGCCGAGCCATCACTATGACCTGGCTATATACATAGTTGATAATGGTCTACTCGCCTTAGTCTGTCCGATCGATATTCTTACTATATCGCCAGAATGATGGCTTCAAACGGTCAAAGTGATGACTTGGCTCTCAATGAGACAGTTGCTGTACATTCTTGCAGTGGCCGATACTGCTAATAGATGACACTTGGACAAAATAATTCTTGTATAAAGTGCAGTATTATATTCCGACTCTAATAGTATGGTAGATATATTTCATTGAGCTTGAAGCCTTATTCGGATACCAGCACCATATTCTAGTTCTGCTACTTAACGTGAAATACTTTAAAAAGTACGGGAATGTATTTTTGCTGTCTGAATATCCTCACTTTTTGAATACACAATTAATACTGACGGTTAAAGGAAAATTCGTTGTAGATGAGATCATTACCGACAGATTTGAGCAGATGATATATTATCAAAAAAATAAGTTAATAACGGGTTGTGTTCCAGGTCGTACGGACAAATTTATGATACGTGAAATATGTCTAATAGGTGTGTAGAATTAGCAAGGTTCGAAAGCATATAAATGTACATCAAAAAATTGACATTTTTTTACCTCTAAAATTTTTGTGACAAATGATCAGGTTCCTCTATAACCTTAAAAAACGAAATTTGAGAATTGAGAAACTTCATCGAAATCCGAGCGGTACTTCTCAAGCTATTAGCGGTTATCAGATTAGCGAACAGACCGACAGACAGAAAGATCGATTAAAATTAGTGATTACAATACTTCCCCGCCATTAGACATGGAAAGTAAAATCTACCGATTCTGCTTTTATCATATTTTTGAAAATATCATCGATCTCCATGCATCAATTCGTATGTTTTTTATTAGTTGTGATAATTTTGGATATTCTGGGTAGCGGTATATTAAATGATAATAACCATCTGTAATCATTGATATAACTACATACAAAATGAAACAAGAGATGGATAGGTATGAAATTTGTAGTACATTTGTCGGATATTTCCAGCTTCAGGCAATATGTTAAATTTTTCTGCATGAATCAACGCCCATTTATTTTTCCAAACACGTATAGAAGTTGAAAGATCGGTTAACAATATTTTGAAAGTACTAGTCCAGCATAACAGAGTGCAGTGAGTTCGAGCTTGGTACCTGGCAGTTGAGCAGCTACTGTATCCGAATGGTTAAAAACAAGTGGTAATCATTGCCAAAACATCACAACATAATTATAACATTATATCCAGATGTCGGCCAATTTCAAGGTATTTTATTCCCGAGTATCGACTCTAAAAGAGTCGGATGATTTTTGGACACTTTATCGTATGGTCAAATATGTCGGTGATGGAAATAAACTGAATTTATGGTCTTTATAAAAACGCGAAACAACTGAATTCATGTTATAATGAAATTGTGTAGCTTCAACACGTGTAAATATAAATGGTATGTAATCAAATCCAGCATTCACACTGCGCTTCATTTTTTGTTTGGTTGTAACTAAATAAATGTTCTCTGTATACCTTTTAACACAATTATTGAAATATCTACAATGTATGTTCAATACTCTTTTTTATTGTTGACTTCTGTGTCGAGTTTCAAATTAAATATTTATAACAATGAGGATAAAAAGAACAACTGAATAACAAAATATTTGTCGCAACTTTGAATAAACTGATGTTGCTTGCTCGCTCAACGATTTTTTCATTTCAATGAAGCATTGGGCAAATCTTCTGTCTTTTGAAATATTAAGAAGGATCCGGAATGCTAAAAAATAGTAGAGTCGTTGAAGAAAAATTTATCCAGCTAATTTTATGGTAGACTGATTCAGAAAAACAAAGGTAGTATATCTATGTTCCTGAATGGAATAAATGACCTATTTAAACATTTAATAGATGTATCAAAAAACTCATTGACGTTCGCAATATTTCTTCTCCTTTTCCTTCTGCTATTAGCCACTTTGTGCCGTGGGTATTTTTATGTATTAATCTGGCTAATCAAATAGATATCTCTAGCTATCAAGGCAATTGAGTGCAATGAGCAGAGGTAGCTACATATAATGATAGAGCGAGATCTAACAGTAGCTCAAAGGCAGACGGATGATGGTCCACCCGCTGTGGTTCAAAAAGCACTAAACTGTTTGAATATATGGAGAGGCAGATGACAACCTATAATAGTGACTAGCAAGGAGAGATAGGTACATTAGAAAAGCTTTTAGCTTTCGAAACATCGAGGATTGCCATGAAGATGGAAGATAATGGATTGGTATTAGCTCCTGAGAAGACAGAGGTGATCATTTTTTCTAAACTAGGTAACTTCATTGGTTGTTAGGGTGTTAAATGCCGAGGTTCGAAGCCAAAATGCGATTAAATATTTATGGGCTCGTGGCTCGACAAAGACCTCAAAATTAATACATAAGAGCACCACTGATGAGGTAAATAAAGTCGCTTCATCTCGGATGCAACCAATAATATCTGATGGAGACTACAGTAGTGAGATGTAGTAGGACCTTGGCGTGGTGGTTAGCTCAATTATAGTATATGATACCTGAAGGCTTCGAGAAAGAAGAAATGCATGCAACAATGGCATGATGGCATCCATAGGTGGTGGCCGGTGCTCCGTCGATTGATTTGCTCGCTAAGTAATGTGTGTTCTATAATAAGACAGGCTCTGGAGCGAAGGACAGCGTCATGGAGAGAAGACAGAAGAGATGGGAGTGCAACTGTTCATTGTGCATGAACCAGAAGATTGATTCCAGATATTAAAATCTGGATTGACTAGGGGCGATGTTAATAGATTTTTAATCTGTGCAGTTTCTCACAGTACATGGTTGTCTTGGTATCTACCTAAACAGAGTATGAAAGAGAAAATATGCGAACTGCGTATACTACAACAATGAGGTTGATATTCGTGCTCACATATTAGATACTGTTGGATGAGTTGACTGACAGAGATGACGGGTGTTGACGATTGGCAAGAGACTCACTGCTGCAAACTTTACCAGGCATCTAAGCGACGCCAAATGGGTTGACATTCAACCAACAGTGAGCAAACGATGCTGAACAAGGTGCAGGATAATAAAAACAGAGATCAAGGAACCAATAATCGATTCCTTCTTGCTGGCTTGTACATATACATACGTAAGCGTATATGTACACCCGGTGATGACACTAGGACAACCAATAACTTAGGCGTGAATATTTAATGTAACGCTATCCGCTACGACGAAATGCGGCAAGCATTGCCGTGGTGGGATGAGCAGCAAACGATTGAGGAGCTTCAGTGAGTATACAGCATGCTGGAGAAAGTCACACTTCGGGCAAAAAAGGCCGACAGAACAGTGCCGTCCAAGATTTCTGCCTGAGAGTGGCTATAAGAGCTTTCGTCTATCCAGATGAAAAAATATGTAAAAAAATTTATCACGCTGTTGGTTAATATTACATGTCCAAAGTGTCAAGATGATACCGTGTTATTTTTAGACATACACTGTATGTTAAGCATATTGCTACTCTGTATTGAGTTACCCTGTATAAGTTCTTCACCA